CAGGCGCTGGGGTGTGGGGAGCTGGAGCTCCAGGCGCTGGGGCATGGGGTGCTGGGGCGTGGGGAACTGGGGTGAGAGGAACTGAGGCTCCAGGCACTGGGGCGTGGGGAGCTGGGGCTCCAGGCGCTGGGGCAGAGCAGCCAGGGGCCAGCACCCCGTGCACAGTGGTGTGTGCAGGCTGTGTTGGGACACAGGTGTGCCTGCTCTGAGCCGAGCCTGTTCACTGCAGAGGCCCCGACGAGGACGGGGAGGAGGAGGCGGCCCCAGGACCGCGGCAGGCCCCCGACAGCCTGTACCGCGTGCACATGCCCAGCCTGTACAGCTGTGGGAGCAGCTATGGCAGCGAGACCAGCATCCCAGCCACGGCCCACACCGTCAGCAACGCGCCGGTCACCGAGTACATGTGAGGACCGCTCTCCAGGCCCAGCAGGCGCAAAGGCCGGTGGGGATGCAGGACAGGGTGGGACAGTTGGAGGAGAGGGTCCCCCAGTCGGCAGGTGGCCTGGGTGGGGAGCTGTGCCGGGAGCTGGGGTGGGTGGGACCTAGAGGCCCTCCTAGTCCAGGGGAGCCTTTCTAGATGGGGCTGGGTGGGTGGACCAAGGGCAGACGGAGCTCTGTGTCTCCAAGATGCTGTGGCCCAGCCTCGTGGCTGGTGGGGGAGGCGGAGGCACTGGCAGCCCCGAGTTTCCATCATAGTTCTGGGGTTCTTGGGGTGCCCAGGTCCTCTTCCTGTGTGGAGGTGTGAAGAGCACACCTGTGTTGCACCCATGCCGCCGACACCAGTGCTGGTGACAAGGGCATCTGAGACAGCTGGGCCAGGCCAGATTGCTGGCCAGCCAGGGTCACGGAGCTTGGCCTCTCCCCTACCCTCAGGAGCCAGAACGCCAATTTCCAGAACCCTCGCTGCGAGAGCACTCCACTCATCGGACGCGAGTCCCCACCACCTTCGGTAAGTCTCGGGGGGGGCTGTCCAGTGGCCTGGGATGGGGTCTCTCTCTGGGGGGCTCAGCCAGGGCTTAGTAGCTACATGTCTTCCACCCTCCAGAGGGTCTTATAGGGTCTTGGCTGAGCTCACCTGGCTTTGCCCAGCGACCTCAGGGTTTACCTTTGGCTGGCCACCTGACAGTTAGGGGCTGTGTTCTCTAGGTTTGTTCTTCTGATTCAGGCCTGCTGCTGGCAGGTGAGGCCTCAGGGGCCTCAGGGACAGTCTCCCCCGTCACCTTGATGGCCCCTTGCGTGCCATAGCTCTGTCTTCACCTCTCCTTCCAGTCTCTTCTCTGACACCCACTGAGCCCCTGGCTGATGGTGGATATCACCTGGCCTGGATCCATGTGCCCTCTGAGGGCCTCACATTTGTACCCAAGAGGGGCTGAAGGGGGAACAAGGCAGCATATGTGGGGAGCCTGGGACTGCAGGACTTCCAGGAAAGCAGCCCATAGAGACTGGCAGGGGGTCAGAGCCCCAGGGGTCACTGGCGGCCACTTGATTGTCCTCGTCCCGGTCACCCTCCAGACCCCGAGGCCTGCTCACCCTCAGTGCTGGGGTTGAAGGGCTCCTTCTCTCTCTCTCTCACCAATTACCCTCTGGGCCTTCCTAGCGTTACTTGGTGGCTCTGGACCATGGTGGCCATGCGGGTTGGTGGTTGAAGCCCTCAGACAGTGCCCGGATTCTGTGGTAGCCGGGCTGCCCTGATGACAGGTACCCACGTCCCTGGCTGTCCGCCCGCATGGCCTGACACCGCACAGGCAACGCCACAGCCCATCCTCACACACTGGCCTGGGGCCCTGTCCAGCAGGGTCAGAGGGCAACACTGAGTCCTGCAGCCCCCAGCAGCCCAGGGTCCTGGGCTCAGAACCTCCCCGCCCCCAATACCTTGGCAGCATATCCAATCTCTGCTGTCACCCAAGCAAGAAAACCACCTACCTGGACCCTTTAGGTGCCTGTACCTTGGAGCTGTGCTCAGGGAGATGGGTGCACACAGGTGCAGCTAGGGGCCCCCAGGAAGAGCCCTCACCAGCTCAGGCAAACAGGTGTGTGGACAGGTATATACTGGCAGCTCTTTGGATGGGTGTGGGCAGGTGTATGTACGTGCACGCAGACAGGTATGTGGATAGGCACATGCTGCTTTCCACGTGGACAGTTGTGTGTAGGGAGGTACAGACAGGTAGCTGTGTGCAGACAGGTCCCTTTAGATGGCTGTGTGGGTAGGTGCATTTGGATGTGAGTGTGCACGGAGATGCAGGCAGATGTGCTTAGGGTGCGTGGTGAGAGGCACGTGCACACGCTCCTCCCCGCTGCCCCTCAAGGGACGCGCAGGCTGTGGCTGTCTGGCCGCCTTCCTGCCCACCTTGACCCATGTACTGGTGGCCAGCTGCCTTCCTGCCCTCTTATGGCTGCCCTGTCAGGAGCTCCAGTACAGGCTTCTCACTCTGCTCTAGGGCCTAGGGGGCTTAGGGGCGCTGTGGGGTGCAGAGCCATCCCCAGGGTCCATCCTGGATCAGTTGGCTCAAGCCTGGATTCTTCGTCCTAGGGTCCACCTCCTCAAATCCCACACCAGTGTGCACTGACTCAGCGGACTTGCCCACACGTACTTGCGCGCCTGTGAACACACCTGTGGGCACACTCATAGGTTCCAGCTTGCTCTGACATCAGACTCATGCACCTGCGCACCACACGTACACTCATGTACACACCTCCCCCAGCACCTCTGATACCATGGACTCAGTCACACACACACACACACACACACACACACACGTCAGCATGCACCAACATTGAACACATTTGTGCACGCACCCCTTTTTTGTCACACACTCAAGTACAATTCACACTGTACTCAGCCACACACTTGCATGTGCACACACTCAGATGTGCTAGCTCCCCCACAGTGGTCACATATTGGCATGCTCACACTCACACGCGCGCGCGCACACACACACACACACACACACATAGAGTAGGTCTGGCGAGGGTGGCCCAGAGGCTGGCTGGCTGGGAGGGTGCGGCGGGCAGGGCTCTCCCTCCTGAGCCCGTGAAGGAGCTGGTCCACTCTCGAGCCACCAGCCTCACTGTGGCCAAAGGGCCCTCTGCGGAGGAGGGTGCCACATGCCCGGGGTGGGTGTCCTGCAGGAAGGCCTCACGCCAGTGAGGATGAACTGCGAGGGGGCCAAGGACTTGAGGGCGCATCTGACTCTTACTAGTCGCCAACTTGGACCCTTTTGTGTGACCTGCACAGATTCTTCTCATGGGCTTATCCGCAGGCCCTGAGGGGCCCTTTGCCGCTGGCTGCCTGGGCATGGGCTGTTGGGGTGTCAGCTGGCTTGGCTCCTCTAGAGAGGGAACAACCCCTTCCACCCTGAGCCTGACTGAGGCCCTGCTGTCCTGTGTCCAGGCCCTGGGTCAGCTGCCTCCCAGTTGCAACCCCCTGTCTGTACTGCTGTGTCCTGCCTCCCAGGGAACTGATGCCCACCGAGGAGGCCAGGCAACCCAGCCACGCCCACAGCGCTGCCCCGCTCACCCCGCCCTCTCTCCCCAGTACACGTCCAGCATGAGGGCTAAATACCTCGCCACGAGCCAGCCGCGCCCCGAGTCCAGCAGCAGCGGGCACTAGATGCTGCCAGCAACACGTCACGTGCCAACCCTGTGCCAGCAACGCCATTGGACCCCCGCACGCGCTCCCACCTTCTTCCTGCAGGGCCGCACCCGCTCACCCCTGGCACGGGGACCACCACCGGGCCTCCCCACCCTCTGCGAAGGCTGAGCTGGCTCCGCCCCCGGCACACCCTTCGTTCCGCCCACTCGCCTGCCACACTTGCTGCACCCCAGACCTGCCCTGCCTGTGGCCACACGTCCCCTCTCAGCCTCCCGGCCCCTCGACGCCTCGGGAATCTTGTCTGCCCACAGGCCCCCGTGAGCCCTCCCAGAAGGAGACGTCTGGTGGCTGGGTCAGGCCATGCCCTCTGCCCTACCGCCCTGTCGAGGAGGCCCCAGCCGTGGCCAGCGGGAAGGTGGCAGTGGACACGGTGCTCACAGGTGCTGGCCTCCGTCTCCCTGACTCTCATGGGCACCCCGTCCTTCCCTCCTCTCCCCCTGACCCCAGCACCTTCTTCCGCAGCACCCTGTGGACTTGGCCTGCCCATGCTTGGCCGCCTCCCGCTGTCCTGCCCGGGCTGCCGCCCGGTGTTCTTGGTGCCAAATCCGCTCCCAGGGCCTCCTGGGCTTGGACTCTGCATTAACCACGTTTTCTGTTTCCAGACGGGCGCCTGTCCTTGCCCGCTTCTCGGTTCCATGTCCACCTAGGACTGATGGACACAGTGTGCCCGGGTGCCCTTCTTGGAGTAGCCCCGAGCTGGCTATGAATGTCCTCTCAGCCACTGCCCCTCCTGATCCTAACCACTAACCTCATCCCCCACGCAGGCGCTGGCCAGAGCCTGAATCCCGGGGCAGAGACTCCTCCCCAGCCCCGGGAAGGCCCAGGTCCTCAGGGATGAGCCAGGCTTCTGCCAGCCTCAGTCTCCCAACCTGTGAAGTGGGAACGTGCTTCCCAATGGTGCTCGGCTCCAGTGTTCGGCATCTGCTGGGCTTTCCCGTGTGGGGCCCATCCTGCCCAGATGGGGCGGCCCAGCAGAGGATCGATCTGGTCTGGACGCCGCAACCGAGCAGCCAGGCGCTTCCACCAGTTTACGGACTTGGGCCTTGTGCCCAGAGCGGCGCCTGCTGCCTGTTCCAGAACCAACCAGCGCCTCCCTCTGCAGCCGAGCCCCCGCCCTGAGCCCCCCTTTCCTTGTGCTGGTGTCTGGGACCAAACGACGGAGGGGCTGCATCTGCGCCCTCCACAAGCCAGCTCTGCCCTCGGCAGGGTGGGTGTGGGCAGGCACGGGACCAGTAGTGAAGCCACGGCGCTGGGATTCCACACCTGCTGTCTTGGACTGTCGAGGCCAGGACACAGACCACTGTCAGCTGTCCAGGCTGCCCTCTGAGCCTCCTGACCTTGAGCAGGAGCCAGTCTCTCTGGCCACCACAGGTCAGGGTAGCATGTGTGGACATCCGGCTTCCACCCAGGAGCACAAATGTTCGCCCGGCCCGACCAGGCACAGCTGCCTGGGGGAGTGGTTCCTACCCCCCGAGCCCTGGGCCCCTCAGACTGCTGTCCGCGACCCTGCATCATATAACTCCTCACCTGCCTCTGGACAAGGACGCATGGACTCGGGTGTTCACACCTGGACCTCAGCCTGTGGAGGGCACTGGGTCATCTATTGTTTCTGGTGCCCGTCCCAGTCACGCTGCCTGCACCTCCACACAAGGACATCTGATGGACACCACCGTGTCACCCCACTTCTGTCCCCTTTCCAGGGGCAGCATGTTAAGGTGTCCCTGGCTCCCTGATGGGCCAGAAAGGGAGAAGGTGGCTGTAAGGGCCTGTCCGCCCAGGCCTGGTCAGTGTGCTGCTGGGCCATCTGTGTGCCCGCACCCTGGGCCTGGCCCGCTGGGTTGTGAGGAAGGGGCCCGCTGGCCTTTTCCCACGCCCCTCATCTCACTATGCAACTCTGACCCGGGCGCTGTCCACCCTCCCAGCACCCCGGCCCTGGCCCAGAAAGGGGCTGCTGCTGGTGATGGACTCGGCCTGACTGGGGAATGGAGGGCGCGCAGCCTCTGGGCACTGTGCTCAACTGTGATGGTTGTGTGCGAACCACGTCATACCATCTGTATGACACATGTGATTTGGTTAAGCTGAGCCTCCTCTCCAGGCCCATCCCCACCCCCTCCCCGTCGGGCATCTCACCCCATCACCGTCCGAGAGCTGAGCAGGCCCGAGGCCTCTGCCCACTGGTCTCTGTCAGCCGTGCACCCTGTCGCTGAGCCTCTGGGTTTGAGGGTATTTTTGTTGTTGTTTTGTTTGCGGTTTTTTTGGGGGGGGTTTTGTAAACAGGGTTTTGGGGTTGGATTTTTATTTTCCCTGGGGCTTTATTTTTGGCAGATACTAAAACTTGTCGATGTAACTTCTTGTGGTTTCTACCCAGCTTGGGTTTCATGTTTTAAAATAAATGGATTTGGAAAAATGGACCTCTCGCCAGAGCCCTCTTGGCCTCTGCCCATAAAATGGCCCCTGGTGACGCCGTGATGAAAGTGCCTGGCTGCTAATGGGAAGGTTGCTGGTTCAAGTTCACCGTGGGAGATGAGGTAGTCCGCTTCTGTAAAAGTGTACTTCAGAAACCCTGTGGGCATTCACCCACCCTTGGGGTTCACGTGAGGGGTCCCAGGTGTGGCAGCGGAGGGTGACTGTTCACCTCCAAGCAGCCCTGCTGCCTCACTGGTTGGAACCCACCAGGCCCTGTGGGAGAAGGGGAGCCGCCTGCTGCGGCAGAGACCCCAGCCAGGACCTCTGGGCACACCGCAGAGTCCGAGCACACCACACTGGGAGGAGTCCCCGCCTGGACCGACATCATGCTCCACGGAGCTTGTCCGCTCTGACCAGGCCCCACAATCAACGTCGTGACAGCAGTGGTCAGGCTGCATTGGGCACATTTGTAAAGAACCTCCCTCAGTTAAGTGCTTAGGAGCAAAGATGTCCATTTGAAGGCTAAGGTGTGCCTGCCCCCAAGGCATTTTCAATGCTTCATGTGCACGGGAAGATGGGGTGATGAAGAAAGGAGGCCGGAGAAGAACCCGCACCTTTGAGCTGTGGTGGTGAGGAGTGCTGCGGCCTGCAGTGAGGAAGCCAGGACGCTCCTCAGAGGCCAGGGTGGTGAACCGCTCACTCACCTGGGCATGTTGCCTGGAGGGGCCAGTCCCTGGAAGAAGATTGATGTAAAGGTGGAGGGTCAGACAGAGGAAGTCCCTTGTCAAGACGCATTAACACAGTGACTACCGTGAACTTGGGGACGGCAGGGGTCAGGTCTGCTCACAGGTTCTCCGCAAGGACCCACTGTCATCAACCTGCAGAGTGAGTGAATGGAAACCAGCTGGCGGGCAATGGGCTGGGGAGGCAGGAACAGCTTTGGAAGATTTGAGGAGAGCCTGCTGGTTAGGGGTGCAAATACACCAGGCACCCAGGAGCAGGGGCTTTTCAGCGGGGAGGGGGGCTCTCTGACACAACCTTGCTGTCTGCAGGCTGGCCGGAGGCTCTGGTGCACCTGGACTAGGCAAGCTGTGTTCAGGCACCTGGCCAGGTGGGGGCTGAGGCAGGTAGGGGCAGGCCTGCACACCGGGGGGTCCCCAGGCAGATGTCTCAGCCCCTCCTGTGGAAATTCCACATCCTTGTGGACCTCCCACCACAGCAGGGCTCACGGGGCAGCTGCCTTTGGCACTGGCCTCTTTCCAGCACATTCTGCCCCGCCACCCAGCGCACAGGTGTGGTGCTCATAGGTTAGCCTGGGGGGGTAGAGCAGTGGAGGGTGTAAGGGACAGACTTGGATTCGGCCAGTTTGTGGAAGCTGATGGAGTTCTGGATCCAAGGCCCCTGCATGTGGGACAGGTCAAGGGACTGGAGGAAGGCCAGGTGGGGTGCAGACAGGAAGAGGAGCATGTGAGATGAGGTCTGAGGGTGGCCACAGGGCAGGGGCCAAGGAAGGGAGAGGAGGCCCGGGTAGGGGTTCACCTGGGCACATGAGTGCATGTGTGGGGGCAGGACTCCAGGGACCCCCATGTCCACCAGCCCAGGGTCAGTGAGTACCCCAGGGCTGGGCCAGTGGGTCATTCAACTCTGCATGTGATGAGGAGAGCGTGGCTAATAGAATGGTCTAGAAAGGCCCAACGCAACCCACTGCTCAGGGCTCTGGCTCACAGCAGCCCTTGAGGGTGAAGTGCAGGTGACTGCCCTGCAGGCTCCCGAGCCTGGAACCTCGTGGACTCATCCCCAGTGGATTCAAACTACTCACGTCTCTTAGCAGCCAAGTACGTAACCACAGTGCCACCGGGGCCCCTCATTCTGACTCTCCACTCTGTGGGGCAAAGTCAAACTGCCCAAGAGGGTGTCTGAAGCTGTCAACATTACAGAAGCAGCTGACCACATCTTTTTTTTTCCCAAAAGAGCAGCTGATTGGTTTGATCCTTTAACTTCTGTTAGCAGCGGGGGCTCCTTGGGAGAGGGGCAGTGTGTGAGATGTGCCAGCAGGGGGGACAGGGGCCCTAGGGGCCGTGAGTTTCCGTGGGAACTCCTTTAGGACCCCGGGCAGGGCCGTGAATTGAAGGGGCAGGAGTCCGCTTCTGCAGGTTCCCAGGTGACCTCTGTAGCCACTGTGTGGAGCAGGAAGGGCAGCCACTGGGAGACCAAGCTGGGTGGACAGTGTGAGATGTTTACCAGGCCTGGGCCCCCATTTTCCCACCTACTGCATGAGCCCAGGAGTCTCACCCTGCAGACCCAAAGCTCGGAGGTTTGAGTCCACTTGGGGGCGTGATAAAAGCCCAGCCTTCCAACAATTCACCACTGCAAACCCCTCAGAGCACGTTTCTGCTGTGAGCCACTCAGGAGCCCAGGAGCCCTGGGAGTCAGGGTCCACTTGATTTAGCTGCTGCAGGTGGGAATCTTAACACCCAGCGCAGTTTTAAATTAATCCTGAGCGCAGTAAGAGAAGATACAATGTTGCACCCTGAGTTAGGGACTCGCTTGAGGTGGAATTCAGGACTGAGAGCGATACCACCAGCTGTTGCCACCAGGTGGCGTGATAGGACCGTCACTAAGGGGACCGGGTCCGAGATGTATGCATGGGGGGCCCATCTGGGAACCTCCAAGAGCTGAGACAAGGTGCCCCAGGTCTGCATGAATTCTAAGGATGTATCACGTGTGGGTCCAGCCCACAGAATATGGGGTCTGGGAGGGGTCAACCCCCCCAGCATCTGACAAGGTTTTGAGTGAGATGGGCAGGTGGCCGGCCACCTCTGGCTGGTCTGTGCTCCTAGGCCCAGAAGGGCAGGACGGACTCCTAGTCGGCTTCCCTGTTGGTGCCTGAGTCAGGAGGTGGGCTTATGAAGACCTGCTGCAGCCCACCTTCCCTCTAGCCGTCCCGATAGGTCTCTCTGCCCAGGCTGTGCTCAGGGCTGAACGCATATCTTCTACCTCCTCTATCTTTACAAAGCTTCCTGCTACAAAGAGGGGATACCCCTCGAGGAAGGTGGCTATGATTCTCCCAGGGAGACCCATGTCCTGCACCCTGCTGGGGTCTGTTTCACAGGGGCCTGCCACCCTCCCTGAGTGGCAGCAGCCCCTGCGGATGCAATTCCATGGTCAGTTTTGAGAACCCTGCAGAAGCCTGGCAGGTGGAGGGGCTGTGGCCGGAGCCACAGGCCATTCCTGGCTGGCTGAATGCAGCGCCTCAGAACATTCCTCAAGGAGATATGAAGGCCCCCCTCCTGTGCTCTCTGGGGGGCCCTGGGCAGGAGCGACAGCAGTCAGTATGTGGGCTCCCTTCAGGGCCCACTTCCCCTTCTCAAGAGCAGAAGCCTCAGCTTCCCATTTAGAAGAGGAAAGAGCCGGGCTGTGGTCAGCATGACCCCCCCAAGACCCCGCCCAGGACTCACTTTATCCCCATCACTCAGACAGGAAGGTCGGAGCTCCTCTGGTAAAGCCTCTGCCAGCCCCTGCCTCCTCTCTGTCTCCTGACCAATGCAGATGACAGGCTGGCAAAGCCTCACCAAGCCCATCCCTTTAGCCCCCAGCCACACGCAGGAAGTGGCCTCACCCGCACCCCGGCCCCCTGGTGCCTTCTGACTCAGCACTGACAGGAAGGCCCTCTGCCCCGTCCCACTCAGGGCCACTCCTCTGCTACTTCCTCTCCCCAGTTCCAACTTTTCATCTTCAGATAGGCCTGACATTCAAGTCACCTGGTGACAGCTGGACGGAGGCAGCCCCTGGGCCTTGGGGTACCTCAAAACGGGCCCAGTCTTCTGCTCTCTTTGACTTATGACCTGCCCGAGGGACTTGGTCCCTCATCTGTGAAGGGCTGGCTGGGAGTGAGGAGATTGCCCTTACTGTGTCCTTACCTCCTCACACCTGAGACCCCAGGAAGCCAGTCCTGCTCCTTCAGTGTCCACATGCAAACTGTGTGAGGATTGTCGAAGGTCACAGGGTTGTGGGGCCCAGCCTGGGAGCTGAAGAGCTGGCATCCCCAGGCTCAGCCTCAGCTGAGATGGTGATAAAGGGCACTTGCCCACTGCTGCCCGCTTTGAGGTGAACTGACAACATGCTTGGGGCCGAGCAGTGCAGAAAGGGAGGCGAAAGACCAGCTCCTGCAAAATGCAGGAACATGAGGCTGGAGCACAAAGTGTGGGCAGCAAATGCCCATGGCTGAACTATCATTCTATAGCAGAATCATGCTCAAAAGGGGAGAAATGTGGAACAGAACTTTTAATGCTTATGGAATCCAGCTCTTCCATCTCCACAGAGGCTGGATAAACCTTGGATACTGCTATCCAGAGATCATCCTGAAAGTTTAAACTGTAACTACCCCATTTAAACTCTTTGGACTTATCTTTAAATCACACACGCCCATCCCAGATCAACAGAAGACTGGCCATAGCATTTCCAAGGCTGTAAATCTTAACGGAAGCAAACGGCCTTTCTCCTGAGGAGCAGCTGGTGAGTTCAAACTGGCCACCTGTTGGTTGGCAGACAAGCACTTTAAGCACTGCCCTGCCAGGGCTAAACAAGAGTTTGGTTTCATTAGAAAAAGATACCTTGAGCATTGGGATCCTTTAAAGAATAACAAGATGGGCTCAGGTTGGTAACGGGCACTTGGCAGGTCAGATGAGCAGCCCAGCGGTCCCAGGTCATGCTGATGAGGGGGTTGTCATTCAGAGAAGGCTGGCAAGAGCAGCGGCAGAGCTGAAGGCTGGCATCACTGGCACGGCGTAGCGCAGCAGGCGCTGGGGGCAGTGAGCGACGGCCACATGCACCCTGTCCTGTTGAGCTCAGTGACCGTCACGTGTGCCCCACGCGGACCGAGCCTGCCACGGCAGCCCAACCACTGCCGGATCTCCCTGCACATCGCTGGCTCCCATCGTGGTTATTTTGACCGTATTTTAAACTTTGTCATGCTGCTGTTCACGTCATAAAGCTCAAACTCATTGCTCTCTGGCTGGATCGGGCTCCTGGTCCACCCGCCAGCCGGTTTGCAGAGGCTGTGAACCGCATGGGAGGAGACTGCCCGTCCGTCTCCCTTGGTGCAGCTGGTGGATTTGAGCTGCCTGCCTTTGGGTTGGCAGTGCCCCTCCTTTCCACTCGGCCAGCAGAGCCCCCTGACTGAACATTTAATTGACCACAAAACAAAGCCCATTGTCATCAAGCCGCTTGGCTCAGAGCAACCCTCCTTGGGTTTCGGAGGCTGTGAATATACAGACACTGCCATCCTGCTGAGCGGCTGTGGGATTTGAACCGCTGACCTGATGCCTGGCAGCCCCACACATGATGCACCACGCCACCAGGTCTCTGTGTCCTAGGACCCAAACATGGTGTGGGTCTGGGTTTATTGTTCTGTGCGCTTTACCGACAGCCCCCGCCTCCAGGCCACAATCCGCTCTCAGTCGCTTTAAGGAGCCTAGGAAGGTGTGGCCTGAAGGGGGACTCAGTTAGAGGAAGAGTCCTCTGACGGAGCAGGCGGAAGGAAGTGAGGCTGCCTGATGCTGCCAGGAAGGGGTGCGGGGAGGGGGACTCCCCAACTGGAGGCCCTACCCCTCCTGTCAGCCCTTCAGCAAGCTTTATCTACCATGGGCTGCTCTCAGGGGCAGGGGCAGTGGGCACCCCAGGGCTCCCAGCAGCTGCCACCCCTTACAGACCAGAGAAAGCCCTATGTCTGCAGCAAGTGGAGTCAGGGACTAGGCTTGGCCATTCTGAGCCTAAGTTTGTCCATTTGCGTTAGGACTCAATCAGGCACTGAGGGGCCAGGCCAGGCCCATGGGACAGGGGGACCTGCAATGGACCCACCAGAAGCTGTCTTTGGGCCAGGACAGCCCAGCAGGGATCTGGATTCCCGCCTACTGCCAACTCTCATGGCCCCTGAGCTCCCAGGGCACAAAGCAAGTGATAGTTCTGATCCTGACCCATGACGGCAGGGCGGTTAAGGGCTCAGATGTGAGCCAGGTCGGTGGTTTGAATCCACTAGCCATCCTGTGGAATACAGGTAAAGCAGATTGCTTCTGGCAAGATGTACAGCTTGGGTCCCTACAGGGCCCACTGTACCCTTACCCTAGTGGCACAGAAGTTAAGCAGTGAACGTTTAACGAAAAGATCAGCAGTTCAAACCTACCAGCCATCCTGCAGAAGGAAAGCTGAGGCTGCATGCGGAAAAGGCTGTGTCGGGAACCAGGCAGGGTCATTGTGATTGGAATTGATGCGATACCAGTGGGTGGGCTATGTATTGATCCCAGGAGCCTCGGGGAGGTTAAGAGGCTCAGCTGGTAACAGAAGCCTGGGAATGCGCACTCACCCAGAGATGCCTCAGAGGAGAGGCCTGGAGATCTACTTCAAAGCAGTGCAGACCCTCGGGGCAGTGACCGAGCACACGTGTGAGGGTGCTGTTAATCAGGATTAACTGTTTTGTCCCTTTTTTTATCATTTTGGCCTGAAGTTTTCTTTTTAAATAGTTGGCTTAGACCATTTATCCCCCACACCCAACCCCTATGTGGGTGGGGACAAGACAGATCGCCTCCTGTTTCTTGGGTGCCCGACGCCCCCAAGTCCCCAAACTCCCTGCAGCTCAGGCCCACCTCCAGCCACACCAGGACACAGGGGAGGCGTTGCTGCCAAGAGCATTTTTATTTCAAGCAAAAGACGTCACCATAGCAACACCACTTCAAATCCCTGAGAACACTCCCTTATTCGTGGGGTCCCGGCTCCGCCTTTGAAAAAAGAAGACAAGAGAGGCCCCCCTCCCCTTCAGGCCAGGTGACCCAGGAGAGGGGACAGACAGAGGACAGAATACACAGAGGGCAGGAAGAGAACATTCCAGATACTGGAACACATAAATACATGGAGGACGGAGACACGTCCACTTCTGCTTTAGAAACGAAAAGCATGATCCAAGATTTGGTTTCTGCTTTTTCTGATCCACAGAAAATATAATAGAGCACACGCAGCCCCTACCCCAGAATAAAACAAACCTGAATACTCTACCTTCTGCCCACCCCTTGATTTAAAAAAACCCAACACAGTAAAAAACTACTGTCACACCATGTACAAACACTCAGTGTGAGTGAGGCTCTCGCATGGGGGGACGAGAGCTCGCTCCCCGCAGGGAGGACTTGGGGATGACCCACTCCAGCCAGCCAGCCAGCCAACCACGCTGGCCACCATGCCTGGCCCTGGCATGGGACTGCTGTCCTCAATAGGGCGCCCTGGCCAGCGGGAGGGGGGAAGGCTGGGGTCACTGGTCCCTGGACGGAGCAGAGCACAGCGATGGGACAGAGGCACCTGCGGCTCTCGGACTCATTGCTGCGGAATGACCAGCGCAACCATCACCAGGGTCATGCCTTTGGGCACACGCAGTTCCCTCCCGGCAGGGACCCCAACTGCCAGATATTTGGGAGGCGGGAGGTGGGCTCCCCCGAGAAGCAGAACTGCCCAGCAGACTGCGACACGGGCAGCCACACAACATACACTTGCGGTGAGCAGCCCCCTGGGAGCCTCGAATGCCGAGGCCAGGGCTACACAACACGGGTCCCCGAGCCCTTTGGATACCAGGGGCGCTCGGGGACGGGTCTCAGCCATGGCTGCTAAAAGACTGTGGGGTGAGGACACCATGACGTGTCCGGGTACAGGTGACAGTGGATGGAGCGGAACCTGCAAAGACAGAGAGGGGCCGGTCTGTGTGGGATGGGACACTGAGAGGCACCCCAAGACCTGCAGCACATGGTGGGTGTGCCAGCCCACCCTGAGCAGGCCTCCGGGGATCCTGTCCCTCCCTGGGCCTCAGTTTCCACACCTGGAGGGGTCCGCCTCCACCGAGAAGGCCCCCTTCATGTGGATGGCATTCCTCTTGTTCTCAAACGTGCCATAGCTCAGAGTCACCTGAAAGGAGGCAGGGGGAACGAGACCTTGGTCACAGGCCCGCGGAAGACCAGCCTACCACGTCCCCGGCTCAGCTCAGAGCCGGCCCTGGCTGCCCTGCCTCTCTCCCCAAGTCACCCTCTTGCGTCACCATCCCTGAGCCACCTGCTTGCTGGCACCTATGAAGGACGTCCCAAGTGTGGACTGAGGGTGGGCGGGGGCAGCACATACAGTGGACAGAGAGGCTCGCCGGCCCTCCCAGCCCACCTCATCGCACTCCCCCCACCCCGTGCACCTTCTGGCCCCTCTGGGGGCAGGCTCACCTGCCCCACCCGCTGCCCCAGCTGCCCAGGGACAGACTCACCTGCTCATGGAGCTCAGAGGCGGGTACCTGTTGCAGGTTCTCCAAGTGGGAGTGGAAGAGGCCGCTGCGGGTCAGGGGCACGCCGAGCAGGGCCTCCACAATGTAGCCGATGGTGCAGTCGTCCGGCAGACGAATGCGCTCTGCTGTGTTCAGGAAGTGACCGCCACTATGAGGGACAGGACAGGTGAGCCAGAGTGGCGGGAGAGGCCAAGAGGACACAGCCAAGCGGAGGTGGCCCTGAGGCTTCTCCAGGAGTGAGGAAAGGCTCTGTCCAGCTCCCGGGGGCCTGGCCCCTGCTCTCAGTGGAGCAGGAGTGGACAGCTGTCCCCAAGGACAGGAGTGAAGGTGGACAGGGGGCACACATTGTGGGCACGGCCCCAGTGGAGGGTGCTCACCTGGCCCACGGGCTCATCTTCAAGGCCAGCCCTCGGCTGATGCAGAAACCTGCCCCTCCAGTGGCAAACCAGAAGTGGACGGGACGCTGTAGGAGGGGACACAGGCTGTGAGACACCACCAAGAGCAGCGTACCCCAGCAAGGCTGCAGGCCCATGTGGGAGCAGGGAGCACTCACCACTTCACCCTCGCCGACCCTCTCCGTGGCCTGGATGGGCCGGTCCAGGCTGGGCTTGCCCAGGTAGACATCCTGCGTGTGGGGGTAGCTGGCCAGGAGCCGCAGTAGAGCCCGCACGTTCACGTAGTTGTCGTCGTCCACGTGGCAGAACCACCTGGGGGCAAGGCCGGCCGGGGTGGGCGGGGTGCCGTGAGGCAGTGCACACTTGTGACTAAGTGTGTACACAGGCATGAGTGAACGGTGAGAGCGTGTGCACACAGGTGTGTATGCATGTGTGTGCCCATGTACGTGACCACGTGTGTCTGTGAACACGTGTGCACACACATGCACGTGGGCGAGCATGTCTGTACACGAGACCATGCACGCATGCAGCTATGTGTACACACGTGACTTGGATGTGCATCTGGAAATCTGAGGTCACGAATGTGTGTTAGTGTGACTGCACATGTGACTGGGGGTGTGTGGAAGGCATGTGCTCAGATGGGTGTACAAATGTGTACATGCAAGCCCAGGAACACAGGCATGTCTGTGCTTATATGTGCTTGGTCATACATGTGAACGCACGTGCACACACGTATGCACACACATGCGTGAACTGGGGCTTCCCGGGCCCGGCACTCACTTCCTCCCGGACTCGATGAAGTGGTCATACTCCACGGCCATCTTGCAGGACAGCGCCTGACGACTGTGGGCTGCTGAGCAGTTGGTGTTGACCACGTTGCCTGTGGACCAGAAGAGCATGGTGGGGTGGGGTTGCGAGGCCGTCTAGCCTCCCCAGGGGTGGGCTGGAGGCCAGTCCATTCAGACAGCTTTTTCCCAGCACTCGCCACCTGTTGCCTCCAGTCTCAAAGGAGCTGGGACTGAAAGGACTTAATTTGCATAAGAATGGGGGGAGTGGCAGGGCTGGCGGTGGTCCTGGGAAGGGGGGCCGAGAGGAGTGGGGTCTCCACGCTGCTGTCCCTCCACACTCACCTGTGTGTCTGGCCAGGACTTTGTCCTCACCGTCCGTAAAGATGAAGGTCTGGAAGAGAAATGTGGCCTTGAGAGGCTGTCTTTGGTGCCCTGGGGTCTGTCCCGGGCGCCCACTAACGCTGGCCCTTGTCCAGCGCGTTTCTACTTGTGCACCAGGCAGCTTGCACATGGTGGAAGCTGTACAGGGCTCGCGTCCACCCGTGTCCATTCATGCTCAGGATGACACGTGCCTTCCCCAGCCCATCCCCATGACAGGGCCCAAGGTCACCACAGTAGCTGCACTAAGGCAGGCCAGGTGGGGTGCTTCCCCCTCCCCCTTCCCAGGTAACACACTCCCCCACCTGCACACCTGGTGGGGCACACACCCTTATTGACACAGCACCCGGAGAGGACTGGGCGGGGGGCAGGCGGAGGAGGTCTGGAGGAGGTCCGGTCAGGCTTTAGAAAGCCAAGTGTCAGTCACTTGGGGACAAAGGCCTTTGCTGGGCGGCTGCCAAGCCCAAAGCAGACAAAGGGCCGAGCAAAGATGAATCACCATGCTGCCGCCTTTGTCCATGGCCTTAACGCAGCCGAGTTAAGCGGGAGTGGCCGAGAGGCATTACCATACAGCTGGCCTGGTTAACCGGGCCCTCTGGCAGGGCCTGGCCACCAACACTGCCCTGTCCACTCTAGGTGACCCCTCAGGCCCGATCTCCGAGTCCAGGTGAATATGATGAAGACACCAGTGGTCAGAAAGGAAGGAGACTTCTGGGGTCCGTGGCCTGCAGCCTGCACCCTTCTGCTCTGCACGGCTGCCCAAGGCCACATCCGGCACCACCTGCGCCAACCAGCGCTGCCACTTCTGCCAGGATCCCTCCTCGGAAGAGGCCGGGGCGGGAGGGCGTGGCCAGGAGCTGCCGGTGCCCGCCTGGGCCCATCTGCTCCCAGGCAGGAATGTTCCTTCAGAGGCCAGCCCGCCCAGCGCGTGCCGCTCTGCACCCCGACATGGTAGAGCTCGGGGGCTGGGTCGGGTTCTCCAGCAGGGGCTGCGGCTGCATGCCCGTCTCCTGGGCCTCAGTTTCCCTCTGCTTCAGCTCCGTACTCACCTGACCCCAGAGAGCGCACACGTTTCCGGGCTGGGCCAGGGTGGTGGGGTGCGGAGCCTTCCCTCCCCAGCCCGGCAGACACCCCGAGGCGACCGGCCGCACGCACAGACTCGCAGGCGGCCCCCGCCCTCGCCCGCCACCAGCCCAGGAATGCCGTGGGAGGCGCGAGGCCGCTGAGCAGAGGAGCAGACGCACCGCTGCGGATGAAAAAGAAAATGCTTTCCTAATGAGATCAAGCGGGCCTGTTCCCGCTCCGGTGTGCCTTAAAAACCCAGCCCCGGGCTACGGAGGCTCAAGGCGCCTCTGTTGCCAGTGGGAGGCTGCCAGGAGATGGGCAGCGGGAGGGTGGGGCTTGGGAGTGGGTGTGCTGGTGTTCCGGCTCCCCCAATACAGCAACCTGCACAGTAAGTGGCAGCCCAGCCAGAGCCTCCACGGCCTCCCCAGCCTCAGTTTCCTCCTCCATTAAATGGGTGCAACCACACTCTTTGCTAGTGCCACTTTCCACTTCACAGCAATCCAGACTTGAAAACAGAGGGCTGATCCGAGGCCAGCCCTGCTGCTCCCCAGCGCTCACCCCCCACTTCCCCAGCAGGCTGGGGGAGGAAGGGCAGGGGGCAGCAGGGCGCAGGCTGGCCAAGGCAGGCAGCAGGCGGGAGGGCGCCCACAGGAAGCAGCATTGTTCCTGAAGCCACAATTCAAAGAAACACAGGATGCCAAGCGCCCCCCCCCCTCCATTGTGGCGATGGCAGTGGTTGCAGGCTGGCTGTCCTGAGGGGCGGAGCGTGGGGGCCAAAGGCCCAGCTCCTCAACTTGGGCTTCATGGCTGGTCCCGGGCAGCCTTGCCAACCCCCTCCCCTCATCGACTGTGTGCCCCTTGCTCTGCTCCTAGGCTCAGCGTATCATTTTTGAACATTTTTTATTTTATGGAGTTGCTCAAATGGTGCCTCCTCCGAGAAGCCCTCACTGGCTGCCCCTCCGTAGGCTGGACACCCACCCTCACTCACAGCTTGCCTGGGTTTCTTCCTGTCTCCCCCATCGGACTGGGTCTGAGTCACCCTGGGGTTCCTGGAAAGAGATGCCAGCACTGGGACAGTTTCAAGGTCCCCTCCCCACAGTACAATGCTAAAGGGTCTTTTGCTTGTCCTGAGATGCAGTCTGAGGCTGGGGGCAGGTCCAGCCTCTCCCAGGTCGTTTGGAGAGAAAGTGGGTCTCCAGAAGCCAGATGGGCTGAGGGTCCTCCTACCCCCACTCGCACCATCTGTGGCCAGACTTTATCAGTTCTCTTTGACAACACCCTACTGAAGCAGTCTGTTTCAGAGAAAGGGTGAGGGTCCAAGAGAATCAAGGCCAAGCTGGTTGGGACTGGTACCTAAGAGGCTCCTGATAGCATCCCCTCAGCAGAAACAAGTCCCAGAAGTCCCAGAGGAGAGGAGCAGAGCTGGGGGACTGGAGGCTGTCCAGCATCAAGTGGGGAGGCCATCCTGGCTCAGGGATGGTGCCCCATAAGGGCTGTCAGTCGGGGGGGGGGGGCCCTGCAGGCCCTTCATCTCCAGGCAACCTCAGTGGCCAGCACGCCAGCGGCGGTTCCCATGGAGTGTACAGCACACATAGGAGGCCGGCCGGAGAAAGGGGCTTTGTTAACCTTGCCCAAGGGGCCTGCGTGAGAACAGCCGCGCTGGGAATCCCAACAGCCCGGCCACCAAACAAAACCCAAGCCCACCGCCCCTCCCGCACCGCCAGGAGCCCCTGGGAAACGGACACTGAGTTCCCAAGAGGCGGCAGCGCTTCCCAGGCCCCTCCAGGCCAGACAGGACCCTGCTCCCTAATCCCACTCTGTCCAGGCAAGGCTGCCCCAGGCCTCTGGGGGCTGAGCAGGTAGTGAAGAGCGAGGGTCCTCCACTCGCACCCCTGGAGGCCAATGAGCCTTCAGGGTTTCTAGACACAGAATGGTGCCCACTGCACCCTCTCGCAGGGCCCACACTCGCCTGGCCCCGCCCACCCAGCCCAACGGTTGCAGCAGCCTGCAGGCGGATTTTCAAAGTGGGGTGTGTGCAAAGTCCTGTTCAGCTGGGGAGGGGCCACAGACACAAGCCCCAGGCCAGGGCTCCTGCAAATGACCTTCCATAGACCCATAAAGCACCTTCTTTCTTCAATGTACCCCAGCCCTGCACCCCCCACCCCATTCCAGAAGGGACTTGACTTGCTCCTATCCTCCCGTTATGGGCACCGGCACTGGTGGTCCAGTGTCCAGTTTCCCTACCCCACATCACTTCTAAGGAAAGGCTAAAGTTTGTGGTTCAGGCTGGTACCCAAAGTTCCACACGTGCCAACGCAGGGGCCTGTGGGATCTTATTTTGGGGAAGTGAGGAACGAGGTCGCCCTGTGCTGGGCTATTTGGGGATCAGGAGTGTGGCAGGGGAACAGACCCCCACCCCTTCCAGGGCACTGGAGCTCGCAGTCTGGGTAGCATGGCATCGCAGCCTCCACCCCACCTCCAGGGATGCAATCTGGCATCTGGGACACTCCAGTAGGCCCGCCCCGCGCTCACCATCTCCTTGTGGCGCGAGATCCAGGTCTCCAGCAGTAGGTCGAGGCGCGCGCGGTGGAACTTTTTGGTGGTCTTGACCGCAATGAAAACGTCGCGGGGCCCGAGCTGTTCGGCTGGGGGCCGTGGGGTGCTGTCAGAGGGCCAGGGGGCGCCCCCGGGCGGTGGGCTTGCGTCCCTGCGCGCGCGCGCCAGCCGGCTGAAGTACTCGGACAGACTGTGCACCTCACTGGGCGAGGCTGTTTCCAGCCCGGACGCCGGGGCCGCCCCCGCGGGGCCCGCTAGACTGCGCAGCGCGCGGCGACCGCGCTCGGCTGGCGGCGGCGGCGGCGGCGGGTCAGCGGTGAGCACCAGCAGGCAGGCTAGCAGCGCGCCCGCCAGGGCCAGCAGCAGGCGGCGGCCGCAGCGCTTGAGCATGGTGTGGGCCGCACCCGCACCTCCTACGCCGCAGGCGGCAGGCTGCGCGCTCCCTCCGGCGCGCCGTCTAGGGACCAAGCCCGCGCCGCCCCTTTATACCTCTGCGCCCTGACCCCGCCCCGGGGCGCATCCCATCTCAGACCCCGCCCCAGGCCCCTCCCCGCCGCGCGCTCACTGGTCCCTGTACCCTGAGGCGGGGCCCACGCTGCTTGCCCCTGGTCCCCGGAGCACCCACGTGGGGCTGCGGCGGGGGGCTGGGAACAGCCTGGTGGCGCCGCGCCCGCCCCCTGCGCACGTGCGCCTGTCCCCGCGCCCGCGCCACCCCGCCGCCTCGCCCGCTCCTCCTGTCGGCCTCTGGGGCTTGGTGCGCGGGCCCGCCGCTCTGTGCCGCCCTGTGCCGGGAGCCTGCGGGCTGCTGCACCCAGGCGGCCGGTACGTGGAGGGCCAGCTCTGCGGTGGCCGCGGAGGTATGGGGACAGCGGCATCTCCAGAGGGGACGACCTTGCACGCTCGCTGGCGCATCCTCTTACCAGGCCGCGGGTTGAGGCGTAGCTCAGTGACCCTGTGCGGCACGCGTGGTCTCGAAGTACATGAAGGAGCCCCACTTGGGGAAACTGAGGTTCCAGCGAGGAAGCGCCAGTACTCAACGCCTCTTCGTGCGTGCCCAAATGTCCTCCGGCCCGAGGCCTGTGCCGGGGGCCGAGGGTCGTGGGAACCACTCAGGTGCCCCGTGGTGTGGACACACCGGGACCGCCCCTCTGTGCCGCGAGATGAAAGGCCTCCTGCCCCGTTTGGTCCCTTTGCGGTTAGCCAGATGTGGTCCAGCTGTGCGCCCACTCCGCCTCCCGGCACATGGCGATCACCTCGCCCGGCCCTTCCCACGGGCCTGGCCCGCCCCTCACACGAGCGGGGGCGGTCGGAATGTGCGATTAGGGGCGGGAGTGGGGATGGGAGCGAGGCTCCGGGAAGCGCTCGGCGCACCCCCCACCTCCCTGCGGGGTCGGATCCCCCGCTGCCTCCTCCGGAAGCGCAGGCGGGCGGCTCTCCGGCTCTCCGCATGGGTGAGCCTCCTTCCCTACCCTGCTCTCGCTTCCTAGGACAGTGTCTGTGCCTACCGAATTTGTCCGTCTATCCGAAGGGATTAATTTGCAGTTTAACCTTCTACCTCGGGCAGCCTCTGTCCGAGAACGTTAAGGGCTCGTGAGCCGCCTGTTTGAAGCTGCCCTGGAGAAGTACTGCCCCACGGTGGGTGCGCAGTAAAGATTGATGGCTGAGTGACGCTTCCTGGTATCGCTGATCTCCCTGGGTGTGGCTTGTCCACTAAGGAGCCTCTGGCCCTTTTGTTTTTAAGGTCCTGGGGGCCACCCCTAGTCCCAGTTTCAGGGGTGTGAGGAGGGCCGAGGGGAGGGGAATTCTCTCCGGGTAATTAGCAGGTCCACCTCAGCAAGGCAGATGCTGAGGCAGATGGTGCTTCCAGGGCCCAAGTGACAAGTCTCCCATGGCGTCACCTACTGCCATAAACCCCTCCCCCACCCCTAGAGCCCGGGCCTGGGCCTCTAGGCAGCTGGAGAGGCCTGGGAGGGGAGGGGCTTCAGACACTCCTTGGGCCCCATTCCCAGCCTGGGATCTAAGGGTCTAGTCTGATCTGCTCCAGAGCTGAGCTGTTTCTGAGCAGAGCCCCCCGAGTGGGTCATCGACCCTGGACCACCCCAAAGTCCTCACAGTCCCCACAGTAGTCCTTGGTAGCTTGGTGCCAGCCCCCTCCCCCGACCCGTTCTTTCCCAGTAGCCCCCACTGTGAATCCTAGAGACTGTCTTAATCTGAGCCTGCGGGAGCCTGTGGTGCTGTCAAGGCAGTGTCAGAGAGCAGGAGTTCAGGTTTCACTGTCTTGAGGCTGGAGTTTGGAAGCAGTGCCACTATGTCAGTTCCTCTGAGAACTTCTGTCTTGGCTTCTGGTGACCTCCAGCTGTCACCTGCATCATGCATGACCACCTTCCCATTGTCTCGCTTTGTCTTTTCTGGTTTTTTAAGGACAACACTCAGAAGGGCTTGGGACCCGCCTGGTGATCTGGTGTTGCCCAGCTAACCCAAAGGCTGACCTGTTCTGGAGTGCTGATCCACCAGCAGCTCTGAGAGAGAAAGATGGGGGTCTCCATACACAGCCCAGGAGCACAGCCCGGGGAGCACGGCCTGGGGGAGCACAACCCGGGGAGCACGACCCAGGGGAGCACAGTCTGGGGAGCACGACCAGCCCGGGGAGCACGGCCCAAGGAGCACTGCCCAGAAGCACGGTCTGGGGGAGCACAGGCTGGGGGAGCACAGGCTGGGGAGTACGACCAGCCTGGGGAGCACAGCCTGTGGGAGCACAGCCCGGGGAGCACAGTCTGGGGAGCATGACCAGCCCGGGGAGCACGGCCCAAGGAGCACTGCCCAGAAGTAGAGGGAGGTCAGCTAGGAGTTTGTTCCAGCTTGCTGGTGGTGAGCACGCCCCTTTGAGGAGCTTTGTTGGGGTGTGTGCAGTGTATCCAGCAGCTCACTGAAAGATCATCAGATCCTATTTATCAACCACTCCACGGAAGAAGGTGGTTGGTCTGCAAAGTTTTCCAGCCTCAGCAGCCCAATGGGAGGTCGCCTGGTGATAAGGCAGTTCAAGAGCTAACTAGGAGGCTGCGGGGAGGCACTCTGGGTAGGGAGGCTGGGGCGAGGCACTCCAGGTAGGGAGGCTGGGGCGAGGCACTCCAGGTAGGGAGGCTGGGGGGAGGCACTCCAGGTGGGAAGCCCAGCAGCCTGCTCTCACATGTAGCTCACAGCGGGTGGCTCTGGTCTGGCCTGTAGAGTGGCTGTGGGTTGCTTTTTTGGTCTACTCCAGGGTGACCTTGCACTAAGGTATGTTACCCTCAGAGGCTTTACAGAAGAATGGTGCTGTTTGTGGAACAGAAGCTCAGGACTAACTCTTGAGTAAGGGAACAAACACAGTACTCCCCACCCAACAGTCAGGGACACAATGGTCAGCGTTGCGCATTTTCTGCAGGACAAAGGTGAACGTAAGGAAATGAGTCCTGGAATAAGTGCAGCTTGAGTGCGTCCTAAAAGTGAGGGTGGTGGTGTATATACACGTACTTTGGACATGTTTTCAGGAGGGGTCAGTACCTGGAGGAGGTCACCTGGCTGGTAAAGCACACGGCCAGAGAAAAAAATAGACGCTCAAGATAGTGGACGGGCACAGACCCCGAAACAGAGGCTCCAGGGCAGCAAGGGCCGTGGGTACACGGCTGGCAGAGCCTGGTTCTGTTCTCCAGCAGCACCTAACAGCAACAACGTCCTAGAAAAGATCAGAGACATAAAGCAAGCGGAGGCCAGTCAGGGCCCCTGGGCCGCTGCCCCAGGCCTCAGGCTGACTGCTGTGCTCAGTGGGGACAGCACACCCATTGCACAGGAAACAAACTGAGGCTCATGCAGGAGCAGGGCTACTGGGCCGGACTTCCGGCGCCTCTGTAGCCTGGCTCTGGTGGGAACCAGGGGCCTGCCTGGCAGCCGGTGATCTCGCAGGGACCATGGGCCTTGGCAGGCTGGTGTCCGGTTCTTTGCTGTCAGGAGAATGGAATTTTGTGGTGACTATTTGAGGTCTGTATTCTGGAGGGGGTGGCCTCCTGTACCTCCACCCCTTCCCTAGACTCGGCTGGGACTCCAGACATCTCCCTCCCCCAAGCCCTGAAGCCCCCTCCAGGGATACATTGGGCCAAACAGCTGGGAGGGGGTGGGGATGAGGTACTCAGACCAGAGAGGAAATGAGCGGACAGAGGTCTGCCCAGAAGCCCCTTGGCGCCTGAATGTCCTCAGGGAGGGGTCTAGGGTGGAGAAGCCTAGGCTGGAGGTCAGGCCACTATCTGGGGGCTCTAGGGCCCTTGGATAACCTCCTTTGCCTTTGCCTCCCCGGGGTCCTTCTCAGCTTTATCAAACCCAGACTCCACCCACTGACTCATCAACTGTCCACTGGTTTCCAAAGGAGCTATGCAAAGTGTATAATCCTTTGGGCTACTGATTGAAAGGTTGGACGTTCAAATCCTCCAGCTGCCTCTGAGAAGAAGGCTGCCTTTACCTGTGAGGATTTCCAGCTTGGCACGTTGACTGCGGACACCGTGAGCAGGCGCTGAGCGGCGCTGAGAACCGGTCCCAAAGCTGTGTGTCTTCGCAGGGAGATGGCCAGCTTCCTCTCCCGGAGTCGCTGGTGGACTCATACCGCTGACCTCAGGTTAGCAGCCCAGCTCATGATGCCATTTGCCACCTGAGTGCCTCCTCTCAGCCTTCAACACAAACTCACTTCCATGGAGTGGGGGCCGACTCTCAGCGGACCCCCCTCGGGAGGAGACTTCCGGTCTTCGTTCTGTGGAGTTGTTGGCGGGATTGAACCAGATCCCTCAGAAATCTCAGAGACCGGCCATCAAGGCGACCCCAGCTCACAGTGGCCCCAGCTCACAGTGACCCATGGACAGTCGTAACCCTACAAGGTTATGTGAGAGCTGGGCCTCATGGGAGAAGCCAGCCTCATCTTTCTGCTGAGTTCGAACTGCTGACTTTCTGGTTACAGCTGACTGCTTAACCACTGAGCCACCAGGTCCAGACCCCTTATATCGTCCCATTGTGGTTGTGAGGTGCTGGGGAGTCACAGCCACCTGAAGGCCCAGCTGAAGGCTGCTGCCCACTCCGCCCCATCCTCACCACCAGTGGACGGCTGGTGTTTGATGCATCCTGGTTTTGAGCTGTGCACTACTCACCCAGCATGGTGGCCTTTAAGGCGATACCCGGAGCTGATGCTGATGTGCAGTGACCCAGGAGGACAGAGCTGGACCACCCCACAGGGGCCCCAAGGCTGTGTATCTTAACAGAAGCAGGCTGCCTCACCTTTCTCCAGAGGCGTGGCTGCTGGGTTCCCATTGCCGGCCTTTCAGTTTGCAGTGAGCTGTTTCCCCTCTGAGCTGTTGCAGGTGGCACAGCCTGGCCTTGGC